TCATGAAGATTTAGCTATTATGACGGAAGAAAATCAAGTCTGTATTCTATTCCTAATTATTAATTTTTAAGACCTCGTTTTTACCTGTACTATAAATTATCGCACATTCAACTGTATTTTAATTAAGGCGTTGCATGAAGAGCTGGAAAGAAATGCTACGGAGTGTTCCGAATTGAAATTGCAAGTGCAGGAATACGCTCGACAAGCTTCACGTGTACAAGAGTTACTAGAAATTAAAGATCAAGAGAAAGCGGAATTATTAGAACAATTTAGAATCTTAAGTAATGAAAAGGAACAGATTGATTCTACAGCCAGACAAACTATTAGTGAAAGTGCCAATATGCGCGCACAAATGGCAGCAAGAGATGAGGTAAATGTCCATATTGCAGTTCTATTTACTAACAGTAAAATATTCTATGACACTGCTGTCGCCACAATAACAATTATTGCTCCATGTATGATATTATAGCAATATTATCTAGCACGTGAAGTGACGGAACAGCAAGAGAAAGAGCTTGAACGAGTAAGGATAGATTTTCGAAATTATGTATAATAGAGAAAATGCAATTAATTTTAAACGATGCTTTATATTAGCATAAATTAGCTCAACAGTCTTACGAAATGCAACTTTCAAGTATGGCACAATCATTATCTAACATGGAAGAACAATTACGTGTAGCTCAGGAGGAAAAGGTAACACATATATCCTATAGTAACATTTGAATCACCGCAGATCAATAATATATTACTGGGGTTAATTTCTGTATTTATCATGTTTATCGTCATACAGGAATCATTACTCAAAGACGTATCTACAATACGTGAATTATATCTGAAGCTAGAAGATCAGAATGAGGATCTTGGGCGACGATTGATGTCTCAATCGATGGATAATGAGCAGGTAAGATATATCGTGAATAGATATTAAATATATACCATAATCTACAAATCATACGAATAAAGGCTAATTCGATTATTGTATTAAAGATGAGTTATTAAAACGATACAAATAACGTAAATTTTTTTAATAATGCTGTAGCTGCAAGTGATGTTTGATGCTAAAAAGCATGAAGCTGAAGCTTTACGACATCAGGTTCATAATTTATTCCAATATTTCCTAGACCAAACACTAATTAAAAGCAAGTAATAATTAATCTTGTTTAGTAAATATTTTAATGTTGTGACTTTGAATTAGGTTTTTACGGAAAAGGGTACAAGTAGAAATCTCGAACAGTTGATAGCATCAAGTAGAGAAAAGGTAATCATCAGCTAATCTGTTTTAGAAGCATTATTATCTTACCGTGCAACAGTTAATTTACAATTATGTCACTTACAGGATTTTCGTTTGGAACAAAAATTAAAGCCCGACTGGGAAGAGTCCGACACGAAATTTACTGAGAAACGGTAACGATTAATAACTTGCCCTTCTTTATTATTGGCTCCTCATGTAATAACTTATTTCTTCTTATTTGCTGGTATTATCAAACATGACAACTTGACGTAAAGCTATAATTATGATCCATCTTCCGACGACAACGGTAAGCTTAAAATTCGAAGGCTATCGTATTAAGATTATTTCTATTTAAAATTAACTGTATATACATTTCAGAAAACGGCGAATTAGCAAAGACAAATTTTGAAAAAGACGAGTCAATATATACCGAACGCTATGGTCACGGTTTATCAGTTAGTCGTGATATTAAGGGTGATCAAAACGCATTTGTCAAATCGGATGAAACTACATCTCCAGATTACGATATTCGTGTTATTTCGCCATTAAGTTAAATTAAAAAATTATAACGATACGAATGATCATGTATCTATATGATTATAAAATTCCTTTTCTTAAATTAATAATATGTCTGGGCGATATTTTCTTTATGCAACAATTACGTCTGTAAAATTAATATTTTTTTATCGACAGTTACATTTGCAACGCATTAATGTCGTTACTACATATTTTATGTATATAAGAAATTTTTAATTGTATTGTTATACAATTAAATATATATTCGATCTATCTTACTTCATAGTTCGTTCGATGTAGCTGTAATTATTACCTAGAGTCAAAGTGACAACGTTTCACACGTTATGGTGATTTCTTTTTCAATCGATATATCTTTAATATTCTGTTTTGTACTGACCTTACAACAACTTACATATTTACAGTTTAACAAATTATTGGCAATTACAAGGGGACTTGCTAAACTTTACCTTCTCATGTTGTACACCTTATCTTATGTGTACTATTTAAGAAAGCCTTATAGAACTTGCTGTACTACAGCCACAAGGATTCTTTTCTTTTAAATCTTTAGTAAACACTTCATACTTGTAACAATTTTCCAATAATTCATTATTCGATGTAAAATTAATTAACTAGGTTAATAAAATTAATTTCATTAACGACTTTAATCATATAATTTTAAATCTATTATAAAAAAATTTGGCTACTATTTCCAATTTTATGTTCCTATAGCTTCGAAATTTACCGATAATTTTGTCGCATTATATGTAATTATCGGTCTGTGATGTATACCAAACGACTTAAAATTAATTATAACTAATTGATATTGTAAAACAATAGGTAAACATTAACTATAGATAGTGACTAGTGATGTTGAAGGAATGGACAGCCTGCATTGCTTGGTCTTGCTTTGTGGGCATCAGTATGCAGCACTATCAGAATAGCTAGATTAGCTTTTAATTTCGTTTAGGAAATGGCGATGTTTAAGCTCAGACAGCTTTAGCATCATGTTATCAACTTGTATCGTAGTCAATGATACAGCGATATGATATGGAATGTGAAAGTGAATTGCGCACCTTATTTTGCTACTAACTATTAATTCGTAATTCTTTATATTTTAATAAAGCAACTCTTTGTCTTAACAATTTTATAGCCCTTATCGCTGATTACTTGTACAAGGCAATAAAATTTATGTAACTTTAACACACAACGTTACGCTACTGTATAAATATAATTACATTTATAAGATAATCCGGTAGTAAAATCTTTCTATCGTGCCAGTACTGTATATCATATAATCTGTTCTACTTTAGCGTTTGATGATAGAATGTACAATTGAGTATATACTCTGAGCAAGATATTGCTAATTTTGAAGACGTTTAATGTGACGATCATACATATTCCCCTTAATATTACCTTACTCAGACTTGCTAGATAATATAATTACTGACTATCAAATTATACAATAAATATAATAGATATAATATAGGAAATTACAGTAGAATAAATCAAAATATAAAAAAGTAAAGTTCTGATCAGCTTTGAAATATCAAGTATATAATTTTTTTACGTGATAGATTTAACTGTTATTCACAATTATCCTAGTGGTACAAATATACTAACTTGTATTTCGATTTATATCGCTTTTCGTAAATTTTGTTTAACCTTAGTTTTGTATTGAGAATTTTAAAATATTTGTTTCCGTGGGATATTTATTAATGCAATTATAAAGCTATACCAGTATATATAGAATTTAAATTTAATTGATTTTTATCAATAATCTTTTCATGTAAATGATATTTTGGATATTTATTGCTTTTCTAGTGGAAAGTTTTTTATGAATTAGATTCTTAATTGAAAATCTTGTACTATACTAAGCAAGAAAAATAATTTTATCTATTTTACAATGTCTGTATATGCAATATACAGTATATTAAATAACTGATGGTACTGTGACCTAGAGTAAAGTTAACAATAAATGTAATAGATTAAAGTCTATTTCTTAAAAGAGCATTTACTATTTACTAATATCTGTTGTAGACATTTTGATAAAGTGTTGCTATGTTAAAAAAATAAAAATTATACAGTAAATTGTTAGTATCAATGTATAAGCAGTGAATTTATTATGCAATTTTTACATAATAAGACAACAATATTTCAAAACTAGCTATGAAAAAATTCTATTTGAGTAATATTAAGTAGATATGTACTACAAATAGTTTACAATATTTAAGCAATCACTATCATTTTAATTTTTGTGCTGCTAATATTCAATTAGTTTAGATAGCTGTGCCAAACATACTTACAATATACATACCTTTCAATAGTCAACATTATAAAGTCAATTTTTAATTAATTATAATCTATTAGCGTCAAATAGCAGCTGCTTTATAACATTGTAGAACAATCGGCTTGGAATAAATTCTAGTGACACTATTTTAGTTGACAAAATTGGAAATGTGTAGTGTAGATACTAAGATGTATATATTATATTTGCCCCTTTGGAAAATCGATCAATCTACTACTCTAATACCGAAATTAATGACCATTTAAATAAATCATCAATAGTTCCTGGACAAAATTTTACCGTTTTATATGAAGATAAATTTAGTTTAAAACTGAAAATAATTAATATAACAAATAATTGATAGCTAAATGAAATCTTTTTCGAGCATATGTATTATAATGTATAGTATTCAACTGTTGGATATTGTTTGAGCTACTGCATTATTTATTATGTTATTCAATCAGTTGACAACTGATCCTTTGATTGGCTTAATTGTATTATACACTTACTGCAAAGTGTAACCATAAAATAATTGAAGACGTATTGATAATTCTATATAAATCCCAAGGCTTGCAGTATTGGAAAGCTGGGAAGATAATCACGATGTCGCTATGGATGATACTAAGAAAAAAACACGATAGCATCCAATCGAGTTTGTTTTTATTTGTTCTACCATGACAATATAACTTGTAAAAGAAGACAAACTATATTGATAATCGTTAGTTATCAGAACAAAAGATCATTTCTCGATTGCTATTAATAAGTCTAGTTCTTTGTTGTCTCTAACTTTTAGAAATAAGAATGATCAAATTTGTTATTGATTGAGAGTGTTATTTTAACTAGTTTCCAGACAGATTCTATACTTCTGGCTTTTGTATAAAGTGCCAAGCACTCCTAATCTACCGTTTCAAATTCATCATTTCACCATAGGAATCAGTCGACAAAAGCTACCATAGCAATTGATAAAATATGCCAGAAACTCAAGGAAAGGTTAAACTGGTGAAAGATTTAAACCAATTTAAGAAAATAATCAAAAGTGTAAAAGACGTCTTAATTGTAGTGGATTTCTGCGCGAGTTGGTGTGTTCCATGTAATACGATTTCTCCACAAATTCGACAACTCGCTGAAAATATGCAACACAACGTTCTATTTTTGGAAATTGATGTTGAACAGAACGAAGAAGTATCTGAAAAGTATGAAATACGAAGCTTACCAACTTTTCTATTTTTCAAAAATGGTGTTAAAATTAACCAATTTAGCGGGGCCAGTATGGAAAAGCTGCAGCAACTAATCAATCAACATACATAGTTGGATATTGGCTATCATTACTAAAGCTTGATATCAGTAAACTCTAACTAATACTCTATTCATTCCTGATGCAAGTTATAGTATTACTTGGTAACAAATAATGTTTGCTTAACAATTATGATAGAAGTGGCAATTACTTGTAGACAAATTGGAGCCAAAGTTGCATGAAGATACTACAGTTTAAAGCATAAATATCGTATGATAACGTATTGAATTGTAAATGTGGTTACTAGTTGCTTAAATGGTATTCATCATGTTTCTGTATAAGGTGGTACTAAAAAAGTTGTAGAAATGGCAAAAGTTTATGCCTGATTTCTATCTTGTTATTGCGTTAAAATAAATAATACTCGTACGGTCATGTACAGTATTACCATATTGGCAGTATTTGTTGCTTGTTGATAAAATCCATGAGTACTGGATATAAGTTAAGTAGAAAGTCAATATGGGAATTGTAATTAATTCTATAATGTGTCTTCATTTAGACAGTATTGACACAGAGTTGAATATTTAATTTAGCCTCCATTTGATTATGTTATACCGTCTACTACAGTCTGTAATAAGCAGTAAATAATAAGTATTACATTTCCTTCAAGTTGTTAACATACGAGCATAGTAGCGAACATGATTTATAATAGCTCTAGTGAATAATGATGGATATTGTCATAGTATAGTATTTACGCGTATACTATATCTAAAATTGACTTTCGTTTGTGTAGACAATAGCAAAAATGAAGAAGTGCGGATACTTTTCTAAGCATTATTAAAATTTGATAACTTTAGTTTTAAGCAAAATTTTAGATATCAGTTTAAGTATTTCCTTTATCAAGGTTAGAATCTTGCTAAAATAGTAGTCGTATTAAAAATGAAGTTAAAAATGAAATAATACACTTATTTTTGATTTCTTCCCTATAAATTCTGTATGTCATTGCATCGTCTCATAGGAGCACTTTATGCAAATATCTGCTAACAGGATTTCAGCAAGTACCGTAGTACATTCTATATTGTCGTACACTGTAAGTATTTAATCAATAAAAAATGAAATACAGCAATTTTGAATTACTCTGTCGCAATGTACGCATAGTACTCGTACTTGTATTAAAAAAAAAAATAGTTTTTTTACGGAGGAGTGTGAGTCCTGCTGGATTCTCATAAATCATTCAATAACGCATTCAAAGAGCGAGGATTAACCATTCATTATAAGTATTGATTTATCGTATGCCCACAAGATATTGAAAGGGGGGGGGGAAACTCATCATGTTCCTTACTGCTTCATCAAGCGTTTCTTGTTATTTTATGAATTTTTTTTTAAGATTCCTTTAATTTTTTTACATTTGGTATTACGTTTTCGCAATTTTATTGATGAAACGGCATTTTTTTTGTCTTTTAACGTCAATTGACAGATTTATTTGGAAACCTGGAAATCGACAAAAAAAAATAGTAAATAAGAGATTCTCTCAGAATTTACTGTACTAAAGCCTACGATTTTCGAACTTTAACCTAACCATTGATTAATCTATGTAACAAAGTGAGCTACTGTAGAATCCAATCCATTTAAACCCTCGCGATCGAATCGATCAAGAAATAGAATATCTCTGGTCAGTGTAGCCTAAGGATCAAATTTATTATTGATCGTGACTTTTTTATTTCTGTTCTAGCCCTAATAGGCAAATCGTTTTATTGATCTCTGTTTCAACTCAACTTGAAAAATCCATGAGGATAGCGATAACCGAGTACTGTACTATTGCAACCTCAGTCGGATGCTCTTTTCTGCTATTTTGGGGGGAATGACTACAGTACCTTGTCTGCAGGAAAAATAGATCATATTCAGTGTACTCGATATCAGTGCTTTATTTATACTTGACATACTTTAGAGTTAGTACCTTAGGCCATGGACGACTAAGAAGAAAACCTTTTTAGTAGTCCATGTCTGTCTGTTTCTTAAAGGCTTGTGGGACTGGTGAACTGATCACGTGTGTATGATACAGAGAATGTGATACCATTTTTGTTAGCATTGGCTTGGCAAACTGATCACGTGTGTATGATACAGTGAATGTGATACCATTTTTGTTAGCATTGAACTGTAAATTACTGCATAATTGGGCAATACTAATTTTAAATTTGTGCGCTGGGATTATTTTTGGACACTGTGTAAAGTACTACGACATGCTGTACACTTGTGCAGTGCTGTAAATTCTGCGATCTAGCATTGGGATTTGCAGGAATTTTGGTTGAAGAGATTTACAGTACACTACTGATCGCAATCTTGAACAAGACACAGTGTGGCGTAAAAATAGTGCAGTACTGTACAATGCAGACATTAGTGTACTGTACACTGTGCAGTACAGTATACTGTACAGTACAGTATTTGTACAAAAATGAAGTTATCATTGGCTTTTTACGGTGTGTTTGATGTAATGCACACAGTACTGTACATTGTACAGTACTGTATGAGTTTTGCAAAGCTTTGCGAGGCAGCTCTTACTGTAGAGTGTACAGTATACAGTACAAGTCCCCATCCCGACACTACCTTACAGCATACAGTACAGTATATTTCCAGTATACTGTACACTGTACACTGTACAGTACAGTAATAGCATTCAGATTTGCAGGAATTTTGGATCGTGATCTACAATGTACAGTATTGTGAACGGTACACTGCTGTACTGTACAGTACAGTACAGTGATCGAAATCTTGAAAAAGACGCAGTGTCACGTAAAAACAGTACAATGCAGACGTTAGTGTACACAATACAGTATAGTATTGGTACAAAAATGAAGTTATCACTCACTTTTTACGGTATATTGGATGTACTGTACTGTACAGTAACGTACTGTACAGTACAGTATGAATTTTGCTTGCTTTGCCAGTCAGCTCTTACTGTACTTTACACTGTACACGGCACAGTGTGAAGTACTGTACAAGTCCACGTCCGACACTACCTTAATTACGGTAGCTGGCACAGCTTGCGAGTACTGTACTACTCTTTGACTATCTCATACTGTACTGTCGACGCTTCATTCTTCGCCGATGGAGTAAGACATCGATTTACTGTCCATTTGATCATTATTAGTATAGTGATAAGTAACATAGAAACGCATTAAATCTGCCTAGAATAGACTATTTTTCTCTTGATTTATAGCCACAAAAGTCTTTCTCAATTGGGACAAGAGAATTGGTAATTGAAAGGGACAGTACAGTAGATCAAGTCGATACATCAAAATTAGGATATCAGTAGGCATTGAAATTTGGCGTCAATTGGCCCCGCGATTTCTCATCAAGCTACTATGGTAAGTTGAATTCTAACTGAAGCAATGAGAAATGGATAAAAAGAGTAGAGTAGAGTACATAAGCTACTGTAGAATTGGATTTTGATGTCTTACCAGTATGTTAAAGTGTTGAAAGAGTGCGAGACTCGTAGGATCGACACTGTACAATCTTGGAAAGGACGTTAACTGAATAAGAGTACTATCATGATTGAGTTATTACCTTTTTAAACATGATTTACTCGATCTACTCGCACCATCATCACTCGCTATGACGGTCAATGTTGACTCGACATCTAAATTTAGCCTTTAATTACACTAGTGACGGTATCAAAACTGTTAAAAGGGATGGCAATGAAAATGCAATATTTATTAATCTTACAAACGAAATGCTGCTATGTTGTTATCAAGTTTTACATTCTATTCCTTCTTATCTCATTTCTTTTATTCATATGATGCCATCAGGGTTCTAACTCATCGCAATTAGAAAAGGAAATTGGGACAGAATTACCCGCTAATGAGCACTACTTTGGACTGGTCAATGTACGTACATGTAATGTTTATAAACTAAAGTTAAATCATTTTCCCCTATTCCTGAAGTTAGTATCCAATGGATAGGTGTACCCAGTACGATAGATAGTATTGACCTCCTTTATGCCTACCTTGACGATTAAGACTGATAGATATTACTAGTCTTAATTCACTAGTTTAAAGTGATACTGGACTACCTATTTTATTATAATTTGATCCGACCTACAGTACGATACAAATTTCAACTTTTAATTTTCGCTGATAAACTCCTAGAATATTTCACTGTCATTATTACCCTGTAAACTAAATAACTGCAAGCATTAAAGGAGACAAGATTGCTTTACTGCACCTGACTTTCCTACCCAATTACAGTACGATAACTCTACAGTATAGCATTGCATTCTACCCCGGCATACTAAACTGGTTGACAGTGCATAGGCTGTATTAATCTGCCACATTAACATTTCAACAACTTCGCTATTTATATTACAGTTTGGCAATACTTGTTATTGCAACTCTGTCTTGCAAGCGTTATACTTCTGTCGCCCTTTTCGCGAACAAGTGTTGATGTACAAATCCAATAACAAGAAAGATTCTCTATTAGCGTGCTTGGCCGACTTGTTCAAAAATATCTCATCTCAAAGGCGTAAAATTGGTGTTATAGCTCCTAAGAAATTTATAGCAAAGCTACGAAAAGAGAACGGTAAAAATCTTGATAAGAATATTATTCTATTCGGACAAGGAATGGCCTTGATCATGACATCACTGTTTCTATTTATTTCACTCTTGATGCTGCGTCATATTTATGATATGAGTTCAGATTTACCAATAACAAACTGTATTCATATTATTTTATAGATTTATTTGACAATTACATGCAACAAGATGCTCACGAATTTCTAAACTACCTTCTAAATACCATTGCTGATATATTACAAGGTTACCAAAAATCAAAAATGTAGACGTCTTTACAATATATCCGACTCTATATGCGTACAATAAAGATAAAAGTGTCTACGTTATTATTACAGCAGAGAATGAAGAATCAGAAGAAAATAAAAACACAAATTCACAATCAGCCGCAACCTGGGTTCATGAAATATTTGAGGGAATCCTAGTAAATGAAACGAGATGTTTGTGCTGTGAAAGCGTATGTAATCTATAACATTATTATCCTTTAAATTTGATGGCTATCACCTGCTTTATATTGTCATAATGTTGATGTTACGTTGTATATAATATATATATGCAGTATATACTGATAATAAAAATTATGGTCAATGTTTTTCTGGCGTTTTTTAGGTGAGTTGTAAGGATGAATCATTTCTTGACTTGTCGGTAGATGTGGAAGAAAATACATCTATAACTAGTTGTTTGAAGTACGTAAGCTTTTTTATAAATAGTAACTTCTAGTCACTTTTTTACATGTAAAAGGGTTATAATTTCATCGTATCCATCATATAAAATACTTTAGGGGTTTCTCTTCAACAGAAACACTTCGTAGTGATCAAAAGTACTATTGCGAACAATGTTGTGGTAAACAAGAAGCAGAAAAACGGTAATCTTTACAAAATGATGAAAAATTTACATTTTTCTTCTCCTCTATATTCTAAATCACTACCTTAAAATTCATCAACTAGAATGAGAGTGAAGAAGTTGCCAAAGACGTTGGCTCTTCATCTAAAACGCTTCAAATATGTTGAGGATCTTCATCGTTACACCAAATTATCTTATCGAGTTGTATTTCCTCTTGAAATAAAGCTATTTAATATGGTAAGTTTGCCATCACTCTACCAGATCTTCGATTACTACATTTATCTCATCAGCATTTGCATTGCCTACTTTGGATTATTATAGTCCAACGATGCCACTAACCCTGATCAAATGTACGATCTATTTGCTGTTGTCGTACACTGTGGAAGGTATGACGATGATCATAACAAATGCTTCAAGTTTGTGTTAGTACCTATAAATTTTAATTTAATTAACCATAATTTTAAAACATCTTCAGCGGTCCGAATCGAGGACATTATATTAGCATTGTAAAAAGTCATGGATTTTGGTTACTTTTTGATGACGATGCTGTCGAGGTAATGCAGTAAAAGCATACTCTTGGTTTAGATTATAGTATAGAAAAAAATGTCAACCATAGTGTTGTAATCTCACTCTTAATATTAGTAGCTTACACTGTTATAAGATCGATATATCCTTTAACTAAATTTTGTTTGCTTCTAGTTCCTTTAATCTCACTAACATAAAATTTTTAATCAACTAGAAAATAGAACCTAATGCAATGGAAGATTTCTATGGATTAGCTTCGGAAACCTATAAATCTTCTGCAGCAGGGTACATTTTATTTTATCAAGCCCGGGAGTAAAAATCGAGAGCAGTTATTTATTATATATCTTATTGATGCAATTTTACTTTATTATACTACTGGATGAGGCATTGGCACGCACAGTAAAGCGCGTATATAGATAATAACTATTCAAACCCGTCTAGAAACTTGTAGCACTGGTGCTATTAAATCATGTATACAGTAGCGTTGATCGCTATATTTTATGATTCATGTATAAAGTTTGCTTAAACCTTAGAAACCATCAAATCCTGTAAGGTTTTCGATCCTAGGTACTTGTATATACCGAGTACGTATGCTTCAGTAGTTGAAATCAAGTGTGATGGTACTCACTGCCATTCATTTATGGTATGGAGTAATTATATCAATAAATTTTTGTAAGCTTATTCTTTTCAATAACTACATTAAATTAGTAAGCTATTTCTAAAATACTTTCAGTTCGAAGTTCGCAATCTAATTACGCTGCTACGATTGGTATAATTCTTATATATTTAGCGTCTAACTTTGTAATAAAATTTTTAAATATGTAAATCATGAAATTACTCCCCGTGATAACTGTAGTAATATGAGGAATACTAGGTCGCCGTAGTACTGTATATTTCGAGAACATTAGCAATGCATGAGCTTGGTTTGTGTTGCGATCCAGTTTTCCTGGATCGATGATCATATTAGCTGTAGGATCGAAAGTTAACGACATGAAGCAGACAAGTGAGACTATTTAAGATGTCAAACATTTATTGTCTTTGGCTTGAATTAAAGATTGAACTTGTGATTGGACAATTTTTAAATAGCGCCTGTGCCTCATTCTTGGCCACTAACATCATTAACAGTAAATCATGATTGTCGCAGTTTATGTGATTTCTTTTGTTTGTCCAAGTTGCTATATAAATTTCTTGTGATGCACATGATGATTGAGGTCGTATGAATCTTTGCACTCTATTCAACTATATGTTGACGTTAAAACGCCTGTGCCATGCCGTAACTATAAAGCTGCTAATCCTCATACAATCACTCTATCATATATAGTTGAAGTCTTTTATTGCAAATTTTAAAAAGTATACTGCAAGGTCCATCTGAATTTTCGTATTCGGATATACGCGTAAAGCCGTAAAAAAACAGCTGTTAATTAGAATATAGGAGTATAAGTCAAATAATGAGCTACTTTCCTTGATTGGATTAGCGTATACCACTCAAATATTTCGCATTTTACTATAATATGTGTGTCATGATTCCTGGAACGTTAATCCATTAGTCAATTTTAGCAGGTAGTATACAATAGGAAATGCATGTTTGTACAGGTAAGCGGCTACTTTCACGTAAAATGCAATCAGTAATCTAGGCATAAACTACCAAATGTATCATTTAGTATTCTATGCCATAACTCTTGATAGTCACAGGTTTGCATAATTAATAACCACTTATATGATTAGGCATGAATACACACAGTTGATGAACTATCATAAAATATATAACATGTGTATATAGGCGTATTGATATATTATACATCTATATTACTGCATCTTTTAGTATTTATACATACATTTAGTAGTGAGACCTGGAACTACTAAAAGTGTAGCAATTATTGACACATACAACATGCTAAATAATTTGGCTATTCCCTTTAGTATGACCGCCTTTTTAAGTATTCATTCGGCATTGCAAAGCTATAGTGCCCACTATCAATTCTAGGTAATAGCCCTGCAATCGGAATGATATTCCAGGATAGACGTAATGTTACATTCTTATGGCCCCTAGAAATAGCAAATCAATGATATATCAGCAATTGTAACTACATAGTACGTACTGTGTCTAACTCTATCTCTACTGTTGTGCAGTATATATGATAGGTAAGTAATATTACGTTATTCTGTATAATATATATAAGTACATTAAATATCATATGCATACAAACACTATATACAGTAGAATGACTATGACAGCCAATGCAATATATGACACGGTAGGTTAATCTATTAGAATGGGTCTTACTTTAAGCCATGACCATCATCTGTAAAGACATATTCTGGAACATCGGTGACGATTAGTCTTGGATCATGACCTTTAAGCATTATACGATCCCATAGTACGATTTGATTTAACGGCTATTGCGGTATAAAAATATAAAATTCTGTCAAGCAACATGTCTAAAAAGTTAGTCAAAGATCAACAGTTTACAGTGACGATACAAAATCATTGTTAAACGTAATTGTAGAGGCAACCCCACAAAATCTGTCAGCTATCACTCAGGTTTTATTCTACTGCTTTATAGCTACAATAACTTTTCTTTCTACTATTTAGAGAGTGCTATATTACAATAGCTGGTACAGTAGTATGGCGTTTGCGAACATTATAACTTTTTCAATAGCATAGATTGTATTTTCATAAAGTAACACTGTAAAAATACTAGAAAGATACGATGTACAACGTCATCTATTTGCAAGCAACATATTACGGCAGCCAGCGTATTTAACCACCGAGTTGAATAATGCAATAAAGATGTTGGCGCTGTTAACATCGATATAAATACTCACATTTCGATCCGTTTTATATTCCGCTGTGAGGTAAATAAATAGTTGTTTAGTGTTCCAATTAAATAACGGAGTAAAATGTAAAAGGTGTTAAGGCAAAATGCAGATTAATAGTTGAAATAGAACTTATTTTCTAATTCGTTAACAGTAAATCCTACTCTGGTGACAAAATATTGATAGATTCTTTCTTTTAATCATCATATTCCTAACATTTGATGATAGGGTACGATCACATCACACAGCATAGTATTATATGAAGTTGATTCAAATTTAAACTATTTTGTTCATGATTTCTAGATATACGCGTATAAGGTCTACCGTCTCCACATATATTTAGTCTACATTAATCAGTATATCATCATGAACTTTTCATTTTTTGTAAGTCCATGACATTATAATGTCACTTCTGCATATCAGAAAAATGATACTGTACTTGTCTACTGCACTATCTGGATAAAAACAAAAGTCTGTGACGCAAAAGGTATCCTGTTGCATCGCATATTTAGCCTACGCTAATCGATGTACTACAGTATATTATCCAATAGATGTGCCAGAAAAGATAAAACTATGCTTGTGTAACGTATTACCTGGTACAATAAGATTCCATGATAGACATGTACGTAGAGTACAGTATATGCGTGCTGCTGCAGCCTGTAGAGTATATTTTGCCTACACTATTTCATGTACTGTATTGTTAACTTTAAGTAGATGGCCAGCAAGATAATTCATTTATATTATACACGTATAATGCTGGCGTTATGATGTGCCTGGATAAAAATACTTAAGCGTGCCTGGGTTGAAAATAATTGTAAAAGTCGTACAGAATTGATTTGATTAGCCAATGTTGAACTATCTACTAACGATATTTTGTATAGTAGGTTTAGTCAACGAATGACGATTACTTCTATCCATAGTATAACTAATTTTAAACTTAAAATGTATGTGTATCTCTCACACAGCTAGGTCAACATGAAAAAGGATATCTGCCTTGATCGAGAAGCTTACAAACGCCCTGTCGCATCTTCCTGTCACAGTAGAAGGATCATACCCACGCTGACTTTAGACATTTTTCGAAACCATTAATAAAAGACAATCCAAAAGAAGATGTTAACTTGACTGATGGAGAACAATATATTATCGCTATTACTTGGGATAGTAGTAGGGCAAAGTTGATGATTATTTGCATCCAATATCACAATTCTATTATCTAGACTGCCATTATGGATCAATAAACAATTCAAGCATTTCTTTACAGTTAATACAAGCTATTAGTGTTTTAAACCGAGTACTAATCTATTAGCGATCATCGTACTATCCAATCGTTTGACATTTTCTACATAATTGACTAATACAATTTGCAGTACTGTCTACCGTACCGTACTTCCAGTCTAATGCAATAGTATAGTATTATCAAGCATCTAATAAAACGTTTTTTTCTCCAAATGATTTTATCACATAGCATCAAAATAGAATCTCAATCTCACTTACACTGCTACATCTTTTACATCCAACTGCACCTTTACCGATTTATCCTTATTGAGAACTGATAAAAAGCATAAAAATGTCATTACAGCTAGCACAGTGCATGCAAAAGTGAAAAGTGCTGTGGCACGCTGTGTTATGGAATACATGTTGCGGTCGTAGCGAGGAAGAAGTGGATTAGAAGGGTCGAAGCATGAAGTTGCCCTTAGCTTACCGTACACTGTACAGTACAGTAGGAGTACTGGAGTCCCGTCTGTCTGCCTTACCAAAGAGAGAAACAGTGCTCTGTGCCGTCTGCACGTACGTCTGTACAACAATATACAATAGTACAGTGTACAGTATATTACTTTACTGTACAGTACTGTAGTTTACGTGTACAGTACTGTACAGTACTGTACTCTGCAGTGACTGACTATTGGAGTAATTGGACCTTCAGATTTTAACTTGATGTTCAGAATTTCATACTGAAACCTCTCAACATCAAATTTAAATCTGAACGGCCTACTGACTATTGGCAATCAACTATAATTATTGTCTTACGAAATGATGTTACCCTTCGTTACCTTTCGACTTTCGACGTTTCATTCCTTCCAGCTTCAAGTATAGTATGACCAGGGACTTCTAATTTTAATTGCTACCTTTGAGAGAAAATTCTTAGAAGTCCCTGAATGCTAAATGCACCAGCTGAAAGGAACTAAGGAAGAGCGACATCATTTTAGTAAAGTTTACACTAGTTCGGAGACATTTGTATTTACTCATGTAAACACCATGAATGATTAATAGTACAGTAATTTAATATTTGTTACTTTTAGAGTCAAGTAAACACAGTAACAACGAATTTATATCGAATTCTTGAACTTATGCAATTTTGCAAAATGCTATTTTGACAAGGCTGTGGCCAACTGTTATAGAGTAGATTGTAGGCCAGGCATCATCATTACTGGACATTTTAGGTAGTACTGTAGATGTGCAAACCTGCAAACCTGTCCACTGGACCTGTTTGCAGGTTTGCAGGTTTGCACATCTACAGTACTACCTAGAATATACGCGCATGTATTGTTCCCAGTCTACCGTTGAAGAATTCTTGGAAATCACGATAATGTTGTATTACTTATACGATTGCAATCCAAATAAAACTCTATTCTTTCCGATAGTTTTGATATATTGAATTTGCATAAATATCAAATCTAACAGCAGTGTTATCAAAAGATTAACGAATCACAGATTGATGTTTTCGATAATATACTGACATCATAATTCTACGTACCATTAAATTATGTTCTATTCCACTTATGCTACTAAGTAAGTTGATCACCGCGGTATCTCGTATTCTTTGCTAAGCAGAAATTGATCAATAGCAACTTTTTACTTTTATATTATTACGTGACTAATCATATAGGCATATAATCATGCCATACTTCAGCCACACATCATAGACCCCTCGCTCCCTCCTTCTCCAAATCATCCCCTTCAAAAAATAAAAGTGTGCAGTTGTCCATCTCAACTTATGAAGTCCGGTCTTCAACAACAGGCACTCACTTGCCAATGTGTTCATTATCGACCACACTAGTACACAGTGTGCGAACAAAAGGCGTGCAGACCAGACTGACCATAGCAAATTGATCATGCATTCATAAATTTAAAAATTGGAAACTCATTCTCAATTAGTAAATTAGATTGAATATACTGTACCGTACAACTATCATTACGACTACATGCTATGTACTTCTGCAGCTATGCACATGAGATCGTGGCGGGTTCGTCTTCTACGCCTAATCTCCTAATCGCATGCAAAAGCTTGTCTATAAATAATTCTTTTATTAAAGACTATCTTGGATATTGGAACTATGATAACAATTACTACTGTATTTACCTAGCAAACTAGTACGCACAACAACACAGCGATACTCGTATAGTATTCTTAGCAGTTCTTACTACTATACACGTAAATGAATATCGATATCCTTCTGGCAGCATATGCTGCATCAAAGGTAGGTTGGTAAACAGTTAAGATACGATGACAGCTACTGTACAGTACAGTGAATGCTGACTGGATAAGCATTACTATATTGTTACTAGTTTTCCAATAAATTTCATTTTAAATCTTACTAACTTTACTGTATATAAACTAGGCCAAGAAAATTTTGACTTGGCTACAGTACTGTACGTAAACGTCCGTAGATTAATAATGCACTGTACTACGTAGATAACATTATAAAATACAGTATGTTAAGATATATACCATACGATAATTAGGATAAAAGTATTGTATAACATTAGCTATCAATACATTCCTAGTTAACTTATCAACAGAAAAAAAGATATTAAGGTTAACGTACAAAAACCATCTTATAACCTATGCTCCTATGCTCATAGCATTCTTTCGTAATTAATTAATTAATTAATTTGCATTCTATTTGTAACGTACAAGTTCGAACTCGATGGAAATTGTTATTCAAACTGATATCAATATAGGCGTTTAGCAACAAGCAATATCTGAGTACTGTATAGTCAAGGGAGGGTCCAAACTCATTTCAAGCTATTATAATTCGTTGCTTTTATACCACGATTTTGATGAAGTTTCTTATAATTAGATTTTAACTCAGGTGAAGAGTGAATCATTTTCAAATGGCAATGAGCACACTATCGACACATTTATCGGATTAAGCGCAATATGTTTCTATGTATTTAATGAGTGTACAGCTAATTGAATTGTCTAGTCTACAAATGTCGGCTACGTTCTTTTCACAACTCAACGATAACTGTACTGGTATAATTAACTGTACGATTAAATCAACACATACCTTACTGAAAGTGATTACAGAATGAATTTACGACCGTACAATCTTGTCGATGATTGTACTGTCAATAAATTCATTCGTGGTATCAGCATTTTACGTCACAGTTACTATTTGTAAATAGTAGATCCTTTATTCAAACAATAGTAATCTTCTTTCGTATCGCTTATGTGATTTCAACTATTACTACGGTATAGACTTTTACAGATCGAAATTAAATTTGGAGGATGTATACGTATAGAAAATGTTGACAATAAAGGCGTCATCAAGATAACGAACATATGTAACTGTGTAATTACTTCCAATCAATAATATATGATAAATAATCCATCTCACCGCTACTAGCTAATTTAATTACTACATATGTTATCAAGTAGATAGCGTGAATAAAGGAATGAAATAATGCAACATACGGTACGTACAATTGTGAGCCTTGCTATATATACCAGTACTTTGGAGTGAGAAAGAACGAATTGTTGCAAGATATTAATCTGTTTCATTCTTCGTAACATTTCTTCATATTTCCTTTGCATCTCTTTTTGTGTACTATCAATCTTTATCATGTCTTGGAATTACGAAGACCCAAGTATGCATATAGTATAACAACTACTAATACCTTGAATTTCTTGATTATTTAATTTTTTAAGCATCAAATATATTAGCAGTCTACTATTTTATTCAATCAATCAACATTACTGAAGAAGACATCTTTTATGTTATACTTACTGATCAATTCGAATGAACACTCTTATTTCTTGTAATTTCTTTTTTGTGGCTATGTCTAGATAGTTGGTATAAAACTTACCCATCTGCAAGTGGAAATCGCCAATCACCAATTAACCTCGATACTAGCGAAGAAGTATTTGATCACAAACTGGTCGAGCGTCCGTTAGATATCGACTATGTTTGCTGTGAGAAAGGCGAATTATCCAACACAGGCCATAGTTTCATGGTTTCTACTGGAAAAAATTGCGGTTAGTAAAAATAATTGTAAACAACCTATGAACATTACGTGATTGATATTGCTCGGCTTCGTAATTGTTATAATTGTTGCTAATATCAAATTTAAGGCATTCAATTCTTTGACTTAAGTTAAATTGCCATAAATTAAATGAATTTTTGTCCGTAATTAGACGGTAGCATAAAAAGAACTATCATGCTGTATGATATTAATTCATTAGACATATCGTGTTTATTTCATATAGTTATCCGAGGAGGACCATTGGGAGAACACGAGTACGAATTGGTACAATTTCATGCCCATTGGGGTGACGATAATGATCATGGATCTGAGCATGATGTCGATCATACTCCATTTCCTATGGAGGTAACTTATCTATCATTGCAAATGAATGGTATTTGTACCATAACTAGCCTTTAACTCTTTCAAATTCTACATTAAGTCGGCCCTGCATTAATTTTCGTATGTATTGTATAACTGATGCACGAATATACATAGTTTGATAAACTGTCCATGATCTAAATTGCAGAAGACTTGCAGTTACTAGTTAGATTGTGTACGGGAGTGTCTTTGTCACAATCAGAATTGCAACTTGTTAATTCAATTAATGTGACACTCACTATCCACATCTGTATAGGACATGTTCATAATTTAAAAGTCAATTATATAGCCATAACCATACATATCTAAAGTATTTTTTTATACAGCTCGAGCCTTTATGATTTAAACCAGAAGACGTAAAACTATACTCTTAAATGCCAGATTTCGTTAAAATTTATGAACAATAGATCTCGTATTACTGTTTTCTGAGAGTGATTACGAAATGTAAACATTCTGTTGTTATTGTTGAATATCTTTTATGTATACCTTATTTAATAGCATTACAAAATATATAAACATTCTATTACTATTGTTAAATATTTTTCATGTATACCTTATTTATTAGCTATTAAAAAATACGAGTATACATTCTGTTGCTATTGTAGAATGTTTTTTATTCCTTGACTGATCATGTATCAACTTATGTTGACATTCTGTTATCGCTTCATCGTAAATATCTTTTTAGATACATTTCGTACACTGGAACAAAACGCTGTATAAAGACGCTGCAGAGGCAACCAAATCTCCGGACGGATTAGCAGTTGTTGGAATTTTTGCAACTGTAACTATTAAAAACCGTTGATAAATGCTATAGATTCAATAGTAGCTAAAAGAATGTAAATTTGTTAATCTTTGTAGCAAGATGCATTGGAATTAGTACGTCAGTTACTGCATTTACTTGTATTGAAGATAGCATGTTATATTATACAGTATCTTATCATTAAAAATTCTTTAACTTCTATCCTGAAATGAAATCTACTACCTTTTAAATTTAGGTTGGAAAAGAAAACTACCAATTAAAAAATGTAACCTCTGAACTGTGTCATATACGCAGTGCGGTACGATATTTTAATTATTAAGCTGATATTTGCCGTCAAGTTCTAAAGATATTTGTTATCATTCCGATCCCCTGACAGGAAAGTAAACCGGTCACCATTGATGTTATTCACCCTATTGATATTTTGCCAGATAGAGAAGGTACAGCATATACTCTTACTTTCTCATTACAATATATCATGGAAATAACAATCTTGTTACAGCGTTCCGTATTTGCTTTATCAATGTTGAGTAACAAAATTAATTTTCTATAGCAGTATGTTCTTTTTAATTATCCATTTGATGTGTATTGATATAATCCGGCTTTACTATCAGATCTCTGCGATTATTGGACATATCCAGGCTCATTAACAACTCCACCATGTACCGAAAATGTAACTTGGATTATGCTTCGCCACCCAATTGAAATTTCTGAAGAACAGGTATAACATGATTTGAATGATATAAATCATGCTTGTTTCTTTTTACTAAGGAATTTTGAGACGATAATGTTATCAATTACTTTCTAGCTACTTGAAATCCGCAGCCTGGAATGTCATGAAGGTGGAGAAATGGTTAACAACTTCAGACCAGTCCAGGCACTACATGGTCGTGAAATTAGGACAACATTCGAATGAATTTATTAATTATTTTACAAACTTACGCGGCTCAAAAAACCCGAAGAATATTCCGAAAATGTCCCATATCTTCATTCGGAATACCAGCAAATATTTGATTGCACAGTTCTTAATAGTGTTGCTATGACTATGCACAGTTTTTGATAACTATATTGATCACTGATTGCAAAGTTCTTGATTATTTTATTAATCATTTCTTGCGTAATTCTTGATAATTTTATAAATCCTAATGCTCGTTAAATATATTTTAGATGATGTCTGGCGTACCAGCTGCTGTTAGCATAAAGTTAAATAAAGTATCAAACGCTAAGTTATAACACCAAAGTTGAACATTGTGATGGCATTATCAGTAATTATATTTAAATCGGTATTGCGTCAATTTCCAGTTTTATTCTTCATGATACGTACATTAAAGTACAATCTATCCTGAGCCATTACATTTTTCAAAGTTAGAAATATAATAGAGAAAAGTTCGTATACAACATTAAGTTCGACAACGAAAATAGTTAGCAATGTAAAGCTTCAGATTTCAAATTATTCGATGGCACGTCAATACAATGCGACTTGATCATTTTTTCTCTCTAGATAGATACATTTGTGTGCAATGTTGTACATCTACTTAAATATATATATACTGTTTATAAAGTATATATTTTACAGCGAAATTTCCTCTTCGGTAGTACTCGTATTTACAACATGTGAATTCTAAAAGAGATTTAATTAACTTCTTTCAATCATACAGCGTAGAACAACTGCACAACATCTGATGAAGAATCTCATCCCATTTACAGTTAATCAAAGTTGTTAATCAATGTTAATTAAGTATTTAATACTATAATATACGATACCTGTAAAAAGTCATGACACTTTTTCCAATATTCCATCCAAAAATTAATGAAAAGATATAAATTAAGATAAAAGCCAGTACGGGATACAAGATTACCACTGTATTCTTTAAAAACGGCAATGCTAGAGATTCGATACAATTATCCCAGTTAATACCAATTAAATTATTGATATACGCGTAGATAGAAAGATTTAGCTACATGCAAAGCAGACACTTACCACTGTATCCTAGAAACGTTACGTAATTATAATAAATTAAAGCAATTAGCCATAACGAGTTCCCAATAAGGCACGATATGAAGTACGGTTGATCAATGATGACTGTTCATAAGAAGATATAGGAATAAGTAACAAGATATAGACATAAAGAAGTAACTAATGATTATAATTAAAATAATTAGTTAATTAAACAAACAGTAAGTTATATTACACAGTCTTTACCAGGCATAAAGATCATCTGAACAACATGAAGGACAATTAATAACGGGAAAAATGCATTCAGGTGGACATCAAATGAATAAAGCCATTCTACAGATTGCTCACTTCCATGCGATTGCTTTTCTTTGAGATACTTGTTTGTGATAAACCTGCCATAATTTGTGAATCGTGAGATTCGTACTAATATTTTGTATATCAAACGTGTAGAAATTTCGCAAAGTGTATAAAAACGCTTTGATGAAGCAGTCACTAGCATCGCTTAGTTGTACTTACCAAAGTAAAGTTCCGATAGCAAGCCCAACACCAATACAGTCGATAAATATGACCCAAAATAGAAATTTTACAAATGCCAAGACATTAAGCTTTAACACAATAGCAAATCCAATGGAAGAAACTGTTATAAAAAATAATACATGTAAGACCTTATAGTAATTTAGCCGATTTGATATTTTCAAAATTTAATCTGAAGTTCTAATAACTTCGCTCGTTCATCGTATCAATTGTTACGAAAAGTATGATACAATAAATAAACTACATATGATTTTTCAGCGTATAACTTACTGCAAAGCGCCATTGCTAAAAGAACTAAAAATGCAGGATCATCCCTCGCCCATTGATGCTTTGTTTCTGCAATTTTTCCGATGTCAAGTGGAAAGGCGGTTACGGTCAGAAAACTCATAACAGATGCCGTTTTATCACTAATAAATCTAATGAATCAGTAATATCTCCTGTCGTGTGCGTGCATTAGGATTTACGCGTAATAATGTACTGTGCTATTTAGCAAATCAGATGAAACTCTAGCTGATGTTATATAAAGTGTACTACGATTTAAATCTCTGGGATACTAAAGAATACAGTTAGAACAATATTACGATTTCTTTAGTAAGGAAACGAAATTAATTTTATACATATATTTAGCTACTGTATACCATCATACATATGATACCACAACAGCTCTCTTAATCTGGCTTATTATACTTACGATGGCGATAATGGAAATTGCGATAGCTGTATAACAAAAAAGCACTTACGTTAGCTATTTAAATAATCATACATAGCTAGAAAGTAATTATATTTTTATTTTTACTGCAGATAATAACCCAAGCTTAAAGCTATTCAATTTCACTAACACTTTGCGTGGGGATACGCATAGATATAACATCTGCCACATTGCAAATTCGAAGTCCATCTCACGGAATTTTATTAATCTCTGAAAGTATTGATAACGTTTTCGAGAAGATGATAAACATTTTGTCATGTAGTCTTTGCCAGAATTATGCATCTCTTCATGATTGTCTATAGATATCCTAAATATTGGAACAATATAACCAAGTCATACGGTACGTTCATTATTTACATTTACGATTGCCATTTGTAGGTAGAAGTAAGCATTTACTTTGTACGAAATAACACAACATATTATAATACTGTACCACATTTACACTCGTATACTCGAATACAACTATTCGCTCAGCTTATATCTAGCAGATGAAGAAAGTATTCTTGACATATACATATATTATGCTTTGATTCAATATAAACAATTATATAAATTAGTTTTATAGTTACAGTAGATAAATGTCCCTGAGTCTGCTGTCTGAATATCATAATCTCTTTCGTACAGTTATAAGGTATAAGATACAATAGTGAACTTTCATATACAGCATTCAATTTAATAAGATATGCCGATGACACCTCGAGCAAATGTTGTTACTATAGCTACTGTAGTCTACTTGTATATGTAGAATCATGTACTGTAGTAACTTTGCGGTAATTACAAACTAAATTAATTCATTGATTATTAATGATGTATTTGTTGGACTGAAGATATTACACGATAAAACAATCATTGCATAGAACTGCAAGCTGCTTGCAGTACAGTACATGTGATAAAAGCATCATACTAATTACTAATCATCGCCATTAGATTGACCCAATGTGCAGAAAACTAGAAAACTATGTAATCCTTGTATACGATTATGTAGATAGATAACTGTGTATTTGATTTGCGAACTCTATCACTCATTTATTATTATTGCATCGCTAAGCTCATCTCTTATCGCTACATAGTGAATACTACATACTACAACCAAGATATGCACAAGGATCTTGAAAGCAATAAGTAAGCTTATAATCAGTTCATTAAACAATTTATACGTACAGTATTTGAATTCATATTCTGTACAGTCGATAATATTGTATATCCTTCGCTACAGCGTTAATCTGGTGTGTCTATACTAGGTTGAATACGTATTTCGCAGAAGGGTTTATTTACAAGTCAGCGTTTCTGTCCACAACCTTCAGTGGGTAATGTACAGTATATACGTATAACAGATAAAGTAGTATAGTGTAGAACAGGATATAGATGTATGCGATACAGTTGTACGGACATTGAAAGCTATCTTCTCAAAGTTTTATCTAATGCATCAAATTATCCAACTGCAAGAGTGTTTAATTTCAAGCAATTGATAACCGACTGCATGTTCTGTAAAAGTTATCTTTTCAAAGTACTATCTAATTCATCAAAGTATCCAGTGCAAGAGTTTTTAATTTCAAGCAATTGATAACTAATCTACTGCATGTCTAGTATAGTACTCCAGTAAGGATCTAAAGCAAGAAATGGTAAATAACCACATTGGTATTTAACAGATTGAACTCCTTATGGGTGCACGTATTTTTTCCATAATATCATCAAGCAAGAGTCACTTATCTACTATGCCTTGCACGGCTTGATGTGGCCATCTTCACTGTAGTTTCAGTAAAGATAAACGTACATATGCTTCAAATGATAGTGCGAGGGCTGTACAAGCTTCTATCACTGTCAATTTTATTCTAACGAGCATGTTGTAGCTTTGGAAAACTTAGCATTTGCAGCCACGTAGTACATTATAGGTCAACGATCCACTTATATATTGCATATTCGTAGTACTAAATTCTAAAGTAAGCTGAAGCATGGCATTCAAATCGATCAGTTATCTTATCATTTAGCATATTAAACCTTCTATCCATCTTCTATCAGTCCTTGCTTGAAGAAATAATCGATTTTGGAGATGATGTACCAGCAGATTTTCAGTCCTATGCGTCAGTAAATAGAAGAATGGCGACAACAACATTCGCTTTCCTGTTCGATCTGGCGAATGTGAAAATTTCAAAACTACAGTACGGTGCAGTACAGACTGTAACTCTACTTGCAATATAAATGTCGCCAGTTAAGAATCGATTACACTAAAATGGAAAATTTTTTACGACATCTATTTTGCACAGTTTTCGACTCTCTAGTCAAGGGAAAAATGGGGGATTTTCTCCAGTTCGAGTCTCCTTGTGACTCTCACAGTGTACTGTGCAAGACAGGACAGGACAGTACATGCTGTACACCGTAATTATGATAGCGACGCACTCTACGTATTGTACAGTCTGTTATTATGTACAAGCATTATAGTACTGTACAGTACAATGCTACAGTACACAGAGTATAGTACTGTAGAAGGTCCTCGACAACGCTAGCAGTGACGTGTACAACTAACTGATCACGGTCTCGAATAGGGTCGCAAATCGTGACCGATAGACTATGACTGTACACTGTACACTGTAGTGTACTGTACTGTACGGTACTGTACTCCGAGCTAGTGATCTGCTCGGGCTTCAGATGTCAAGTGGACAGACATCAGGCGTGCAGATCCAGGATCGATCTAAAACAGGCACCGGCAGCTCAAGCCATTATCATCGCTGTCCAGCTCTCTTTCTGCAACGTTATATGCGACAAAAATGGCTGATGCACAGGTGAAACACAGGCCTGGTCCTTTCAAACAAACAAATAAAAGTCACAAACATGGAAAGCATCGTAGTAAAGGAAAGCTGGACGAAATCAATAGCGGTACTAGCTCGTTCCATTCTGTTATATACAGTACAGTATCTTGACGTGATTATAGTGATTGGAGTTGCCAAACTACTCGCATGCATATTGAACATACTAAATTATAGTATATTGGATTACCGTTAATCCTAATAGCTATCCAAGCCACTTTTAGGATTTTGTACTGCTACATGCAAAATGCACAGTAATTGTTATAATTAGCAGGCTATCAATCAAGCTACAAGATATAACTAATGAATAGAGTTAGAGTTGTTGTTATACCTGTGCCATTTTATCGATTTTAGGAAGGGTCGGAGCTAAATCAATATCACGTCGACTACATCATGCTTTGAGTAAACAACAACGCCAAAATAGGGTTGGTATAGCTTGATAATAATATTGGAAGACATAATATACAGTCAATGCATTGATAAGGATCAAAACCTAGTTAATTTGCATCAGTTACAGGAAGAATAGTCCTATATTTTGCCTCTATAATTTGGCATTTTTGTCTTTTAATGTTGAATGATTCTTACTAACATTTCCTTACGTATATTCAAACCGATAGCTTAGTCAAATTCGTAAGCATAAACGTCAAGAAGTTTTAACAAAGAAAAGAGGTATTGGAAACCTTGGCTCCGTTCCTCATATCATAGTAAGTTGCAGATAGAACCATCAACAAAATAACAATCATTGGTACTGACTGAATAACTTTATGACATTTTAGGCTGTTATCCCACTAAGCTTGCATGCAGTTGACAGCAATAAAATTGTAAATGATATAACTTCGTGTGACGAGACGGCCAATATCATTAAGGGATATTCCGGTACTACACTAGTGTAAGTACAACTTGGAATCTAGATACGCATATCAACTGCCTCGGGCAAAATTGTGCAAGTATTGTACTGTACAATATAATGGTGTATTGCTACGTTACCTTAAACGTCTATCTGTATTATACTTAATGGCCGTATCATTATCTTATCACTTAGGTCGAATTCGTATAAAGCAACTTTTACAATATTGCAACCACCATTAAAAGATCTATATGCTTGTTTAGACGCTGCAAAGGTTATAGCATTGATTCCTAAATGACCTATATTCATTCACATGATAACAAAGTCAACCAATGAGCACTTTATAAGATACTCGTAAATATGCTTGTCGTTTAATATGCAGTACCATGATATCTAAATATGTATGTATATACATCATTAGATCGCAGATACGATATTATTTGTTCTTTCCGCAAGTAACGAGATTATCGATTCGTATGGACATCATTGCCTTTCATGTCTATTTGCACAAGGATTGCCGACTTCTATTGTTACGGCGCAAGGAATAATCAACCATAGTGGCAAAAAACAGCATGAAATTAAAAGAAATATCCAAAAAATTGTCTTACAAAAGTAATCATAAACGCAATATAATATACTATGCATATTGTCCACCTGTTTCGTCTTGTCTCAAATTCGGACTAGCAATAGCATCAGTTTTAAACTCTGTAAGAACTTAGCCTTACAGTTATGAGTGATTACTAACCGAGTGAATTATTTCTATCTGATATTTAAGATTTTCCAAGGAAAAATGGTTTCATTTGGACACTCAACAGGTTGAAAGCAATTTCTTTGTTACACAAACTTTTAAAACCGTATGGTAATGTAAAAAAACATATAATTTAGGATGCGCAAAGGATTCTTCGCATTGCTGCTACCACTAAATTGCAAAAGATAACATACCGTGAAATTCGGCCGTATTTGCTTGCTGAAACAGTTGAATTTAATGAATGCGACAGTAGCGACAATGGTGTTTTACAAGTAACAGGATATCTACGTGGACATTCATTATCAGCCAACAATCTCGTATACATACCTGGAAGTGGCGAATATCAATTACTAAAGGTAAGTTAAAACCTATGCCAAGCATAAAAGTATAACTCAATAACCGGTTAACGAATTACTGCATGCAAAGATCATTGTGAACGTATCTTTATTGTCTCCGATAATATAACGAAGATCAGATTTACTGTGCAGAGCTCAATATAGATATAATCATATGTACTTTTCAAGTATCCTTATCATTTTAATAATTAGATTACTGCCCCACCAAATCCATCGCTAAACTCAAACAGCAGACGATCCTCAACTGATCAGGTAGTAATTACTGCTCGTGATAAAATATCTATTACGAGTAAAGAAAGATTTTTAGTGTAATTTTATAATGTCGATTACATAGATTGAAAGTATGGAAGAAGATATGCGAGTATTAGATGAAGCTGATCCTGCAATGCAAGTATGGGATATAACAATTAACCTATTTAGCCTAGATGTATTCATGCTGACGATGAATTTTAAATGAAAGAAGTTTAAAAAGCACTATTCCGTATCAATTAATAGGAAACCCTTATAGCTGAAGCTGACATAGATACCTTAAATGATGAGCAGACATGGCCAACTGAAGAAGAATTGCAACAAGCAGATGGTAATCTATGCTAAAATAGTTACGAGTGAAATATTAAAATAACAAACGATTCATGTTGATAAATGTAATTATTGAATTATTTTATTGTAATTCTCTAAAATGGCAGAAGAACGGAAACAGAAAATGAAACGTAATAGAAAATTTGCAGTTCCTGCGGGTACATCAAGTTATCAAGCTTGTTGGATCGTAGCAAGTGATGACGAAGAAAACGATGGCCTCGTTCGTATTGATATATTTCCTTATTTATACTATTTATATATGTGCAAATGGACAATTGGACATATGTGTAGTGTCTTGTAACCAGTACTAATACCAAGTTGACCTCCTATTTCCAAGGATGATGATGCGGACGACGATGAAAATAATTTCAGCAACGATGATATTCCTGATGCCGTTGAATACGACCACGACGAGCCTGCTTCGCCAGTAAGTTATCATGTTGGCAAAATTTTTAAAACTTACTACATTAAAGGCATAACACGACAACTACTTCCTATATAGGCATATAGCAGCCATGAAGGCGAATCTAAAACGGTTACATTTTCAACAGTCATGGATGGAGATGCTATCAATTATGATCAAGAAATGGACTGGGAAAGAGAAAGAACCGAGTATGATTTCTGTGAGATAGGTTTTTATACAACCAGTAAAGTTTCATTAAATAGCGCTATTATGTTTATTAAAGGTTAGAAAAGATGCGAGCAGAAAAGGAAGACCGTACTTTTCCAGATGAGATTGATACGCCACTTAATATTCCAGCTAGAGAAGCATTTATTGAGTAATGCTCATAAAACTAGGAATATAGTTTCAATTAAATTGAAATCCTTTATTTGTACGCGTAATGGTAGCAATTAAATATTAATATTTTTCAAGCTATCGGGGCTTACGGAGCTTTAGAACTTCTCCCTGGGATCCCAAGGAAGACTTGCCTAGGGATTACTCCAGGTATCTTCTTGTTTTCTTATCATGCCAATGAAAAGATTTTATATTTGTGTAAAATTATTGATGTATAAATTAGCTGTTGAGGATATTGTAGCTTCTGACTGCTTTGGTTTATTTCTGTTTGCTCGCTAGAATATTTCAATTTCAGAATTTCAAGCATACAAGGAAGGTTATCTTGTCATCCAATGAAGAATCTAATGTCCAGGTAACTAATTCTGCAAGAATGTTACTTATAATTAATAATAGAATTTGTATTCTTTAATATCTCTGTTTTTATATATATTATAGATAGGGTGGTACGTGACACTTCATATTAAGAATGTTCCGAGAGATATTGCAGGTCAGCGTCCTGTAAATTTAATCTATTAGAAAAACAGACAAAAATGTAAAGGTTCCTGTAAAAATCTGACTTATACCTTCCCACGCAGATAATCTTCAAACTCATAGGCCATTAGTAATATTTGGTCTGTTACAACATGAACAAAAGGCAAGTTTAGACGAAAAGTCGGCACATTTACTAAACATCTCTTTTAAAGTTATACTTATTGTCGTATTGCAGATGTCTGTGCTAAATTTTGTTTTACAACGGACTGCTTATTACTCTGGAACAATCGAATCAAATGTATGTTAATACGATTGAATGATAATGACTTTCGTGCGCAATTGACAATTTCATATTAAAACAAAGATACCATAAATGCTGATGATTACTCTCTTCCAAAACATAACTAGGATAGAATGATGTTTCAAGTAGGATTTCGGCGCTTTTCGGCAAGTCCAATGTTTTCTCAACATTCAACAGGAAATAAGCACAAAGTACTATTAATAACTGTAGAAATTAGATATATTTAATATCACCGTCTAGTCTTAAATACTCTAAATGATGGAAAATGTATTATGTTGAATGGTAGTTGGAAAGATTTTTCCGTACTAATGAAGCAATAGTTGCGACTATGTACTGCCCGATTATGTTTCCTCCTGCTCCTGTTATTGTATTTAGAGAAAATGAAGACGGAGGTTAGCTATGATTGATTAAATCCTCTTATGTATAGTCTTATTGACTCTTAACGTGATGGCAATGTAACCAAAATTTTGTAATTGCAATTGATACAAATGCGTTCTTAGGATTCTCTTTAGTTGCTACTGGATCATTATTAAACGTTAATCCTGATAGAACTGTTGTTGAGAAGATCGTTCTAAGCGGTCACCCCTATAAAATTCATAAAAGGATTGCTGTTATCCGATATATGTTCTTTAACAGAGGTGAGTGATAGGGATAGCAGTCATATCCCATGATTAAGCATAGGATTTTAGACATTGATGTGAACGCTGTTTGTTATCGTTTATAGAGGATATTGCGTGGTTCAAACCCGTTGAGTTATATAGCAAGTTCGGTCGTCGTGGTCATATTAAAGAAGCTTTAGGTTTGCCAATCCTATTACAACAAGTTATTTGCTTAAATAATTTCATTTAGTTATATAATATGGTTCGGTAAAAGTTGAATATTTTCATTTATAGGAACTCACGGGCATATGAAGTGTATCTTTGATAAGCAATTAAAAGCACACGATACAATATGCATGAATCTTTATAAGCGTAATTTTCCAATTTGGGATTATAATCCTATCGTACCTCGACCTATACTAAGTCTTTCCGTTAACGATCAGCCGACAAATGAGACAACCGCTAGAAAATTTGAAACCAAAATGGATACAAATCTGTAAATTAGATTATGCTGTTGTAATAACGCAATTATATAAAATTTTCTAAAATTTGCGGTTTAAATTAAAAATGTTGTTAATGCTGCTGAACTTATTTACTGAGATGTTATACATGCAGCAATATTATTATTTCAATGACTCACAACTATTTTCATCCTGAACTTGAAATCAATTTTATTAATGGATTTTTCAAAAATAAACAACAGATGGTAGATAAATTAAGATTTTTGGATTGAAATTTTATAGTAATGAGATAATAATATTGATTGCTTCATAGTAATAGTGCACGTTAGAAATTCAAGGCCGCAGTTCGGTATCATGGTAATTCATAAGCGTTGAAGGTTTTACAACTTAGAAAAGTAAATTTAACTTTAATTTAATAAATAACAATATTAGTATCCAACATATATCATTGATACTAGTGTAAACCCCAACTCATGGCACATCACGTCAATTAACTGTTTGTATGTCACTGCTCTGCATGCTTTCAGTGATATCTCGCAAAAGTCGATGTTATAACTATATGTACAGTATACACATATCTATCTGCAAATTATTTTGTACTAATGATAGAATTTCTGTAAGCTATTCGGATTTGAAATCAATATCTAAAGAAGTCTAGTACGGAAATTCATTGAAAGATAACATTAAAATTGCTTTCTGTAAATATTGATCCCTGTATACTCTAATTCACTTATCTTGTATAAATACGATATGGGATGCATATTTCGTGATCGAGATCGTAGCTATCTTCAAGTTTGTAAGACTCTGATAAATAAGTAACACCGTTATTATACGGTACCAGTAAGGAAATGTCTGTGTCAACCTATACGTGCTAAAACTATCAAATTTCGCCTGCAGTTTCAAGGAGTCCATTGGTAAATTCAATAAGTCAAATTTGAACAATCGAATCTTCATATATATCACGCACTGTACATACATTTCATAGCCATAAAATGGTACTATCACTACTTTGGCATATCATCTTACTGTAAGTCATGTACCAAAGCTTTATATAAACCGATTCTCCATGCATACGGAGTTTAATACCTGCTGTGATTCTATTTACCGGTGTTAGTAATGGATCACTAAAACAACCCAATAAAATTACTTTCGACGCTATAAAATCGTAGTAGTAATTTATTTGCTCGTGATGTATGCATGTAAGATCACATTGATGTCTACACAACAGCAATAAGGCGTTTATTGCTATAAATATAAAGTTAATATAATTAGCACACAAGTATAAGCAAATTTACAGTATATACGGATTTTAAAATTACCTCACAGAACCATATAAGCTACAATCTGCCAATATACAAGTAAATGCATTGAAGTATATGATTACAATAATTGTATTATTGTATTATGACGTACAACAGTACAATAGTACATTCTATCCTTAAAAGAATAATTATCGTTAATCCCGGATTATAATCTAAGTAATACCGGCGTTCACATTTGGAAACGTGAAAAATTGCACCTAAGTTTCCCATCGTTCATCGGTCTTTACATTATATATTTTTCAATAAGTCGGTCAAGACAATCGCAAAATTTGATCTATCCTTTACATGTGATTGTAGGCATAGACGTTCAAACGCCCTGCTGATCACAAGCGAAAGGTATTTGACCATTTGGATCCGTTGCATTGATTGCAAATTATTCTGTTATCGCGATTATATTTATAATTCATATGCAAAGTTACTGAACATGATGTGCGATCATACGTACGAATAGCCGGCAAATAATTGTGCTCGTAAAATAAAAATAAAATTGAATTGAGATCATTATGATAAAATTAAAAATTTCTAACTTAATTGTTTTCAAGCAAGATCTCACTGTATATCAGTACGAGTATATCCGCTAATTATATTATCCATTGAGCTTATAAAAATCATCTACAATTTCTCCCTTAAATTAAGAACGCAGCATATGTCAAATTATGAAACATAACATAATAGGGTTTCTTCACTTAGCATACACTACGCCTTGATTTCGTTAATTTGTACTTACAAAGCTGGATTACCAGATAAAGACATAAAAATAATCGAACTTAATTAAATGATCTGTAAGTAACCATTAGTTGTCATGAACTTAAGTTATAATATAAATGGTAGTTAATAAAAGGGTAAAAGTAGATAAAACTTGAATACACCAGCAAAAATGACGAAAATCAAACGGAAGACCAGTTGTTGAAACCTACAAGGTGTAAAATATCCGGAACGTAATGTCAGTTATAAGCAATTAAATAAACTATGGGAAAAATATGAATAATTGTGATATCACAATTAGAGAACTTACTTTGGCTATTGCTGATTGGGCTTTTTTGATCTAATTTGGAAGGGTTACCATAGGAACCCTGTCCACTGGCAGCTGATAAATAATTAAAATAGCGTTACAATAAGATACTTATAATATTTCGACCATTACTTACTAAATAGCCCATCTTAACAAGCAAAAAAACTATTGTATTAGTATAAGTATCGTACTAACTTGGCTTGTTAAATCCACCATTTGTTGTAGGCTGCCTTCTAGCAGGAGGTGTTAATCCAGGATTAGCATTGGGATTTACAGGGTATCCAAATCCTGAACGTGGATGATACCCACTCGGATTATTAAGAGACTGAACTGGGACATTTACGTTGCGATCCGCTGTTCTAGAATTAAAGGTATTCCGGTTTACTGGATGAGCCAGCACAGATCGACCGTGCGGATTATTAGGTTGCCCGTTAGAATTTTGATGATCCCCATTAACTTTTTTATTATATAAATTATTGGAATCATAAGCGCGATTATTTTGATCAGCAACTGGGGGATTTCTAGATGGAGCAGCCGAAAGATTGTACTCCGTAGAAGAATTCGTGTTCAACGGAGTAGCACGAACTGGAAAATTCTTGGTAGAAGTTTCACTTCGCTGTGTACGTCCATATGGTTGGTTACTAGGAATAGCATTTCCCTTGCTGGGCTGATTTGTTATATTTCGTCGAGGTGGAATAGCATTACGTAGGGAATTCGGTGGATATACTTGCTTATTGCTAGAAGAATTGTTTGTCTTCCTTGGAGGTGGTATCTCAGGTTCACTATCAGTAGATTTCATAGCAGGTGACTGTCTACCATATGAAGGACGATTAACACGAGTTGGTGGTGCAGTAATGGGACTTTTAGCGGGAACATTGTTATTAGATGAATTTGCTTCCCGGTTTTGGTTAGCAGACGAAGCAGGTGTTATATTTTTCGATTGCAAATTTGGCCTTGATGGTAGTCGCGATTGGGTACTTCTCAACGGTCTACTATGAAAAGGACTCGGCCGATTTTCGACCACTGGGCTATTTCTTTCTATGCTTCGCTGATTTACTTGTGGAGCCGGATCAACTGTCGGTTCACTTGGCGTCTTACTCTTAACTGGTAAAGTTCTTACTGCAGGCGCTGATGAAACCTTCTTTGACGGCGTAGTTCTGTTAATGATTCGAGCAGGCGTCTTATTACTCTGAATATTGGGCGTCTGTCGCTCCTCATGATTAACAGTTGCAGGTGAAGTTCCTCTCATTCTTAAGGGAATCCTTCGGCTAGCTGAATGCCCTTGGTCTTGACTAACAATTGGGGAAGGGCCGCGTGTAGGAGTGGGTGTCTGCCTTCTGGATTGTATAACGACATCATTTGATTTTCTACTGGAAACTATCGTATTTGTACTTTCTCTTTTCTGATGCGGCTGACTCACATTTTTTGGAATATTAGATTCAGAGTTTGGTGACACCGTTCTGTTTTTAGTTAAATCTTTAACTAATTTCGGTGAGTCTCGTTCAGGAGTTTTGTCTTGCTTAAGTGGTTGCGGAGTTTCTCCGCGTACGGAGCGTGGAAGACTTCTAATTCGATGTGACTGATTTTTAAATTTTGTCGTATCTTTAACGTTATCATCAATCTTGTCAATCTTATCTTCAGTTTTTCGGTTTACCCTTAGGCTAGTTATTTGTGCGGATCTCCGATAAGGTTTTTGCTCACTCATAGGTGAAGAACGACGGTTTTCATCATGGCTGTTATCAGTGTTATCGTGATCTGAAGTATTATATTCATCTTTAAGCGGTTTTAAACCTATAGAAAATCCTCTATTACGATTTTCTAATCTTGGACTTGATGGTTTATTAACTGAATGGCTACTCAAAGTTTCTATATCAGAAATAGCATCCCCATCTTCGCTTTCGTTTAAACTGTAGTTTGACTGTTTATCGTCTCCATTATATAATAATTCCTGATTATATTCTTCAGCTTCCTGAACTACGCTATTCCATATAGGATTCTCTTCAGGTAATATTAGTTTATCTCCAACTGATGATGCCATGCTTTCTGTATCACTGAAATCTTTCGCACCTGCAATACATCAATAAAAAAATAAGTTTTTAGTGATCAGTGGTGTAATGGGAAAGTATTCGTTAGGAGATCTGCCTCCTGTATACGGTAAGTGAAAAATTAGTAATTAAACTATTCACAGTTACATTATGCGGTATTTGAAGGTATCACCGAAATTAATTTAATTTCGTAAAATGGCAGTGTCGTTAAATTATTAGCAAAGCAGTAAAGGATTATTAAGGTAATATCTTCAAATCTTACCATATAGATTTTGATGACGGCGAATTTTCAGCATAAGGTTACTATTTCTAATTCCCTGTTAAAATAGGTTCAGATTGTTCATTAAAAATATTAATTACCAAATTATGGTTCCACTATGTATGAGCTACTGACAAACTACACGTTGAAACTTCAAGCTTACTTCAGTAATCATGTCGTGAATTACATCTATTGACTTTGTCAGTACATCTTCCCCATTTATCCAAACTATTTCATCTTTGATTCGTAACCCTTCTGCTTCTGCTCTACTCCCTATAATACGGTTCAAGCACAGTTTATATCTATAC